TATTTACGGACATCACGGTGACGGCGTGTCATAACGCTCAGATCAATCATCCGCGATTCAACTTGTTAAGGGGCTTTTTGCGAAGCGAAATCTCCAATTTCACCTCTTACTGATATATAGCGACATAAGACGGATTTTTACAGATTCAGATGCGCGTTCTGGATAAATTAAATATAACTTAAGTATAAAATATAAATATATATAATATTAAATATAAATTAAGTATAACGCGTGAAACTCGTACACTGAACATCCGTACAACCATAGAACAGTATAACAGATCCCGACCACGTTGAGGAATAACTGCAGTGGACGACTGCAGGTGGTGTATTCCGTTCATCCGTCTGTCCGCACGATGTTGACGCATTGCGACGACRGGAGCTTCAGTTGCAATTGATTTCGATTATTAGGTATTATCAAGCGTGACGCCGTGTCCCACGTGAATCCGGCGAGTGCGAACGAATTCTATTCTCACCATGCTGTTCCGCCACTGCAGAGCGAAGCGTCCGATGTGGCGAAATAAAAGCTGTTCTGTTTTTCCGTTTTCGTCGCACTCGGCGGATTCGCGTAGGACACGAYGTGACGCGAGTTTGAAGTTTAATTACCAAAACGATGTGGCTAAATGGCCAGAGCAGCAACAAAGTGTTTGAGACAAAACTTCAGGACTGATATAATACTGAAATCCACACATGGGTGACCCATAAACACCTTATGAACAGATCAGAACCTGACCAATGTCAAACTTGCGGTGAAACTTCCACGGTTGAACATCTAATATGCCACTGCCGTAAATTCACCGACATCAGAACCAAGCTCAACATAGAAGACAATCTGGAAGAAGCYYTAAGTCCCCAGCCAAGCAACATTGAAAAATTAATCAGCTATTTAAAACAAACTAAACTATAACAAATTATTTAACCTAGATATACCTCAATCCTTTTTTGTTCGTACTATTACCTTTGTTTTGTATATATTATTGTTAATGATTCATTCTTGTGTAAAAAAATATTAATGTTAAAGCCTYAAAGGCCAATAACCTTTGTTGTTGAGGCTCATTTAAAATAAAAAAAATACTGAAATCACTGTACCTATCCATTTAGGTCAATTCACCGATTCCTCACATAGCCGTGTCCGCCGAAACAATAATTAATGCGTTCCGAGAACCAAAAACATCGTTATTACCGTTATTTCTTTGAAAAATCAAGCATCGATCGAACATCTAAAAAAAATATCAATAAGTAATAATAAGTCGTCGACGATAGGTTAATGAAAATCGGCCAAACTCCTATATATGACGGTTAATACATTGATGATGCACCGCGACCGCCTAGTCTRTTTAAAACTTTAAACTTATGGCTTTGGTAGCGATTGCAGAGATCATCTGACATTCTTTCACCAACCATAGGCGTGTCCACGGGTCATGCCTGT